CAGTTCTTACTATTTCTCTAGAGCATTGAGTCATATTATACAAAATTATAAAATACTATCAGAAAAGGGCACTTTACATACCATAATAGTCATTTTATAAAGTTCAATTTGGCAATTCCAAGCCACATTTAATTTTCTCTGAAAATTCCCACATGGCAGAAAGATATTGCTCCTTGTGGCTCTCAAGTCTCTTTCAGGGAACTGTAAAACGACAACCTTCCAGAATTAGCACTTTTTCTATATAGACACTAAATTACTTATAGCAAATAAAGTCACATATGCATTTTTATTAAAATAAATGCTAAAATAACAAGTAATTTTCCTATATTACCATTCTGGGATTTATGCAAGTTAAAATTTTGCAGTATAGTTTAGTATGAATCATTTGTAATTCTTCATATTAGTTCTTCATATTTACTGACAGGTGGGGCTAGTGATTTCTGTATTAATTATAATATTTTAGCACATTAAAATCTATATCTAGATGAAGCAGATACTTCAAAGCTTCAAAACTGATGAAACAGCATACCTCTCTTTTAAGGGATAAAACTGTTTGCATTAATATATGAAATATACTACTAAAACCCCCTGCTGATTTCATAGGCTTTTGCAGAGAGTTATGCATAATATTCTGAAAATTAAAACCTGAGGATCAGATATTTATGATGATAAAAATTAGATCTCAAGAACTATTAAAAACTTGGAAGAGTCTCCTGGAAGGAATTTTTTATTCAGTTCAAAAAATATTTAACACATATGGGGGGGTGGAGGGGGTAACCACAGTGGAGTCAGATGTATGAGTTCTAGACTCAGCTCCACCACTTACGAGCACTGAGCTATAGTCCAAATGTCCCCCCAATTCATGTGTTGAAACTAGATAACCAATGTGATAGCATTAATAGGTGAGGCCTTTAAGAGATGATTAAGTTATGAGGGCAGAGCCCTCATAAATGGGATTAGCAACGTTATAAAGGGCTGGAGGGAACTAGGTAGGCCATTTTTGCCCTTCTGTCTTTGGAGATGTGAGGACACACTATTCCTCCCCTCCAGAGGATGCAGGAACAAGGTGCTATTTTGAAGCAGAAAGAGCAGCCTTCCTCAGACACCGAACCTGCTGGCTCCTTGATCGTGGACTTCCGGCCTCCAGAACTGTAAGAAACAAATTTCTGTTCTTTATAAATTACGCAGGCTCAGATATTTTGTTCTGGCAGCAGAAATGGACTAAGACACATAGAGACAGTGAGTTAGTCACTGAATATCTCTGTGAGCCTACATTGCAGAATTGAAATGAGAATTAAGTGAAGTAACAAGGGAAACTGCTTTGTAAATGATAGGCCATAACTTCACCAATGTCAGGTATTGAAGATGGCATGGTGTAAGCTATCCATACATGTGTATTTAGATCTGGGGACAAATTATCGAGAATCTACAAAGTCTCAATGCAAATGTGTTTTTGCTCTTTTAGTTTGTTTTTATGTTGATGTTAATCTTTCAAAAAGCTCATGTGATTACATTCTGAATCATCTGAATATCCTCCTTATAATAATGTGTGTATTCATGACAGTATTACCACCAAATAATTCAACTTTAGTTGTTTCTAAGCTAAAATAGACAGACGCAGGCAGACTTAATATGTAGCTTCTATGTTCTCCCATGAGAAAGGTGAGTGACAACGGCAAAAATACTGAAAAAAATTTGATAACAGTTTGAATCCAGAAAACTGAGACTATTCAATCATTACATAGCACCATATAGCACTGGCAAGCTGAACCTTCAAAAAAAGAATTCTGCTACTCAGCATTAAGAGCAATGATTTAACATCATTCATCATCTAATGAGATCATTTGTATTGGTTTTGTAGCTTTGTATATATTTATTATAACTGTGTTTTCATTAGTCATTGAAAAGTGTAAGCTAAAGTTTATATAGAGATTCATATTTCTATGTATTTAAATAGCAGTATAAAATTAACAAAAAAATTAACTTAAAAATAATTTAAGTTGATATTTGAGAGGTGTGGCCAAGTAGATCAGAACTCAGAAGACAGATTTCAGATCATTTTTTCTCTGTGCTTTGCTGTATGACCCCGAATAAGTCAAAAGACCTCACTTTTCCCTATTTCTTCACAGTAAGATAAAGATAATAAAATCATTTACATAGAACCCTTGAAAGGAATAAATGATACAATGACTATTATCACGAATGAATGCCTTTCCAGGCATTGTGTGTTGTGGACAATAAAACCTCTGAAACAAGAATTTGAGCTTTCAACCTGTATTTCGATGCCATCTTGGGAAAATTTCTTTACCTCTACGGGAGTCACTTCCCTATTTTTTCTATTTTTTTTTTTTTTTTTAAGAGATGGCGGTTTCTCTATTTTACCCAGGCTGGACTTGAACTCCTGGACTCAAGCTATCCTCCTGCCTCAGCCTCCTGAGTAGCTAGGACTACAGGCTTACACCACTGTGCCAGGCTTGTCATGTCCCTATTTTCTAAAAGCTATGTGTTCCATCAGATTATCTCCTGGTTCCTTCCAAAACAGCTATAATAGAAGGTGATTGAGTTTTCCATTGGTTTAGAAGAGCAAAATTCTCCCATCTATCAGAGAAATTTAAATATTTTTCTTTGCTTTGTTTTTTCCTCTGGTATATTTGAGTCTTCTCTCTGTACTTGGATGTAATCGCCCTAGCCAAGTCAAATGTCCTCTCTACATTGCACTGCTTAAAAAGCAGGCTCTGGACACAGGCTGTGTGGATTCAAACCATGACTCCACCACTTATTGGCTGTGCACCATAGGGCAAATTGCTGAACCTCTGTAAGCCTTACTTTACCTTTAAAAATGTGTAATAATAGAATCTATTCATCTGGTGTGTTGTAAGGATTGAGATAATAGTTTTAAAATACTCAGTTGCAAATCCTGGCATTTTGTAAAATGCTCTATGAATGTTAGCTATTATTAGTATAATTGTGTTTATTTTCCTTCCTTTTCATCCTTGACTTTCCAATTACTGCTCTGAGAGAAGGGAAAGGAGAGGTTGCAACACTTGGAACATAAGAAGGCACTAAGGAAACTCTGGCAGGGTAAACATGGAGTGATAACCAATATGTCCTCCAATGGCACAGTCACAGAAGGAGTAGCCACCATCCACCTCAGGAAACTTAGATTCATCTGGATTCCACAGTTTTCTAGCTTTGTGAATTTCTTCAAGTTATATTGCCTCTCTATGTAGTAGCAGGCCTCAAAAATATGAAAAGCTGTCTATGAAAACGTTGTCTATAGAGTAAAAAGCTTGTACTTTGTAAATCTCTCCCTATTAGAAAAATCTGTACTCTGTAAGCAATGACCTTGTAACTGATTGTGTAAGGCCCCCAGCTGTCTGTAGTAAAATTTACTGTACTTGCCTCACCCAAGAAAGAATGCTCCCTGCCTTAACTGATGCTATCTGCTTCTGTAAACTTGCTTGCTCAAAGATTGTAATCAGTCCCGAGGCCAGGCAGGTGGTCTGAGGCAGGTCCCAGACCCCGCGGCTATGGAATGTATGATGTGATTATTTTTATTCCACTATGTCGTGTTTAATGTCACGTAGCTCCCCTCCAAATTAGTATAAAGTCTTCTCACCTTTTCGGCTCTGGACTGCTCTCTGTGCAGCCGTCTGTGGTGATACAGAGGGTAGTTGCTGGCCAGCTAATAAAGACTCACAATTTGGCTCATTCGGCCTCAAGGTGGTCTTTCTCGCACTCCGTACCATAACAGCTAAGCTTTTGTTTACTCCTGAGGCTAGTAATATTTGTCCTATTTATTTCACAAGACTTGGTGAAAGATTCAAAAACAAATAGTTGGTGTCCATGAAAACACTTCCCAAATCTAAAGTACTAAACAAGGCAGTTTTTTTCCTCAGCAGGATACATTTTGAAGGGTCAGAAAAGTTGTATTCTAATTCTGGCCCTCTCATTAACAAGCTGTGCTGAATTCATTTACCCCCTCTGAATTGCATTCATCTGCCAAATAATCATAGAAGTAGCATCCACCATTGATTATGGGCTTTCCAAATGCCATGTGCTGCGCTATGTTCCGAATTTGCACACCAAGTGACCTCTCTTTTAGTGCTCGCAATTTTGTGGCAGACATTATGTCCACTTAACAGATGAAAAAACTGAAGCTGAGAGAAGTTAGAAACCCTTCATATATCATCTGCAGAGTGGATGTTCTAAAAAACACCTAGCCATAAGAAAGAACTGCTGTTCAAATAACAATTTTGGGCCCAGCAGGGTGGTGCATGCATAGGATTACAATCCCAGCACTTTGGGAGGTGGAGGCGGGAGGATTGCTTAAGCCCAGGAGTTTGAGACCAGCCTGGGCAACACAGGAAAACCCCATCTCTACAATATATATATATATATATATAACAAAAAAAAATTAGCCGGACTTAGTGGCCGGCTCCTGGACTCCTAACTACTTGGGAGGCTGAGCCAGGAGGATCGCTTGAACCCAGGGTTCAAGATTGCGGTGAGCTATGATCATGCCACTGCAGTCTAGCCTGGGCAACAAAGCAAGACCCTGTCTCTAAAAACAACAACAAACAATAGCTTTGCGTCTAATCACCAGCTTCCCCCGGTGATATTCACAGGGCCTGAAGCCCTTCGGAACTTCAGGGTGGGGTTAAAGGGAGATGACAGGCTCCACCAAAATCTCAGAGCTGAGCTGCAGCAGCTCCCCAAACTCCCGCATCCAGCCCAGACCCCGCTCCGCCCACCCCCGTGAAGCACCGCCCACAGGACTCCTTCACCGCCCTCGCAGAGGCCATTGCGCACCCAGCCTGCACCGCTTTCAGCAGGACGTAGCGCATGCGCTATTAGTACGCTCGGATTTCCTGTCCGCGCCTGTCGCTTCCGACGGGAAACATCTGGCCAGTGAGGGAGCTCAGAGGCGGGCCATAGTTCTCCCAGGCTCCTCCCCCGCCCGGCGCATTCAGAGCGGCGAGGGACGCCCGGCGGCGAGTGTGCGGTGTCGGTTTGGGCCCATGGCTGCCTCTGGGAAATTCAGCACTTTCCGTCTCCCGCCGTTGCCCACCATCCGAGAAATCATTAAGTTATTCAGGCTGAACGCAGTGAAGCAGCTATCCCAGAATTTTCTCCTGGACTTGAGGCTGACAGGTGTATGGCTTCTTCGTGCTCGCCGAATATTGCCCCCGTGTTCCTGGGGGCGTGGGGTGGGGTGGGGGGTCTAGTGCGGACCCCGCGGTCCAGGCTCAGGCGTGCGACGGGCTTTTGGTCAGGTCCTTCTACCGCTTTGTAGTAAATAACTCCGAGTTCCACCGCGCAGGACACACGTGAAGCCCGTTGTTTGCTCCAGACGCCGCGTTTAGGGGCGTGCAGCTGTGGGCTCTGAAGGCCGGCTGTGCGGCGCCGAGCACACGGAGGAGGAAGGGTTCACGTACAGGTGAAAGGCTCTGTGGGCATTGTAATCTCAGTCACTGTGAAATCAGTCACTCTGAAATGGTACTGCACATGCTGACTGGACTTGCTTTTCATGCAGTTTAAAGTTATCTATTTAAATGAGTGCAAGGATTTTATTAACTTGTAAAAGTGTTCTTTGTAGGATTCGCTGTTTAAACGTTTACCTGTTGAATCTAAGAATATTCGAGGGCGCAAATACTCATTCAGGAAATGCATAGTGTACAAGCCACTGTGCAGTAGTTCTGGGGGTAGGGTATGGGAGTGAGCAAGGCAGTTTGTCCTCAAGAAGCTTACAATTTAAGTAAGTTTACATTCCCACGTCCTATTCTTTTAAGTCACTTTTTATGAGGTAAAATTTATGTAACAAAATTAACCAGTTTGAAGTGCATGATTTGATGAGTTTTGGCAAATGTGTCCGTTCATTTAACCACCACTACCCAAGAGGAGATTGCAAGAATAAGATGTATTACAAATATGTCCACTAATTCACTTATGTTTTGAGGTTTTGATATTTCATTCTGTTTGGCCCCTCTTCTGAAGTTGAAAAGAGCAGAAAAATCACACCCAAAAAGTTCGTTTTCAATTAAATGAAGCAGAGTCCACAAAGCATAAATGTTTTATTTCTTGGACATGAGTCTTTTTTCTGCCCATAGCAATATGACTTTAAATAAAATAGCGTAGCTTAAGTTTTCTCATCTTTTAATTGGAGGAGGGGCCTGCTACAAGAGCTTTGAAAGATTACCCACCTTTAAAATTCTTTGAGTCTAGTATAACTGGTGCCATCCTTTTCTGCTAGTCATTAGCCACATTCTAAATATAAAGCACCATTCTCCACACTGAAAGTACAGGTCTTTTTTTTTAAAAAATCCTTTGTATAGATTTTCTCATGTGAGCCTTTATTCATCTTCAGGAGTAAGTTACAGATTCTGGATACTATTATCCATTTTTCCTGTGGGATCCAAAGTGTAGAGAGATTAGGGTACTTGCCTCAGTTTAGAAGAGCAAGCAGGAGCAGAACAAGATTGAAATCCAAGTTTAGCAATTTGACAGTACTTCTTTAACATTCATTTGTCTTTGTGCCTGAAAAGTATGAGGACAGAGTCCTGCCTACTGTCATAGCTCTCCATTTTAAAAAATGAGAATATTAAATTCACCTGTGCTTAATGTATCATTGCTGTTCCCTCTGGGAGGCATTGGGCTCTCAGTGGAACAAGGATTGGCTTTAGAATTTATACCTGAGTTGGAATCCCTTCTCTGCCATTTGCTTTCTAGGTGACCTTGCACAAATGAAACAATAGACAAGGAAACTGAAAAGTTCAAAGAAATTAAATTGGGGTAGGAGTTCTTAGTTAACATGTAAAGATTAGGTGAGAACTTATGTAAATCATTCATAACAGGTAAGATGTTATGAGTGATTCATAATCACTCATATTGGGAGTGAATTAGGTTGCTAATAAGGGACTGATACGGTACTACACTGGTAGAATATTGAATGGCCACTATCGGTTTAGGTGGAGAGTTAAATAATCAAATAAATATTGTATATAAAGGATTAGTTGATTGGGTAATAGCTGATAAGAATTTTTATAGGTTATTTTTCTCTTTATATTCTATATATTAGAATTTGCCAAGATAATCAAGATAACTAAACTTTCTTTTCTTTAGATAAAATTGTAAGGAAAGCTGGCAATCTGACAAATGCTTATGTTTATGAAGTGGGCCCTGGGCCAGGGGGAATCACAAGATCCATTCTTAATGCCAACGTTGCTGAACTTTTGGTAGTTGAAAAGGATACTCGATTCATTCCTGGATTAAAGGTGAGGTACTTAAAGTGTCTTTTTTAGGAGGCAAAAACCCAGGTTAAATCTTTACACCATGATTGTTAAACCCAGGATGTCCCAGGATTACATAGGTTCTTCAAACTGCAGATCCCCAGGCCTCATCCTAGAGATTTTGATTCTGTAGTCTGGAGAGGTCTACAAATCTGCATTTCTAACAAGCATTCCTAGATGGTCTGTTGACCACAGCTTGAATGTGTACATTGATGCTAAACAAACTAATTGTTTTTTGTGACCTTTTAAAAAAAAATCTAATAGCTGTGCAAGTCATGACCTTTTCCTTCAAAAATAAGTAAAAATAAATAATGGCCAGTAATGACTCATTGGTATGACTTTTGAGAACTTCATTTAGGTTCAAAAAAGCATTTCCACAATCAAAAGATGAAGAAGACATATGCTAGCCCTTTATTAAAAGTGACTAATTGTTAAGCTCAAGCATTCTTATAAAAGAATTTTTTAAGTGAAGGAATAAAGTACCACTGTACTTATAGATTGAAGATGAGGTTTCAATGAAATGATGCATGCATCTTTAAAACACAGGTACTGTTATTGTATGCAAGTATGTAAAGGAACTGGGCACATTTCAACTGGAGAAAAGAAGCCCTGAGTGAGGGTACTCATAGCTGCCTATTAATGGTTGGCAGTGAAGAGGGTAAGCTTGTTTTGATCTTTTCTAGGAAAGAGCTACAACAAATAGGTGAGAATTGAAGGAGACAGGATTGAGGATTTGAAATAAAGAGGGTCTTATATTTTTAAAACATTGGCAAACAGTTGAATAGATTATATGAGGGATCTTGTAAAGGGAATACCTCATGGGGGCACTTAATGCTTGAAGGCCTTTGATTTCTCCATAATTCTAAAACTTTAAAAGAGCCCTGAGCCTTTGGCTCAGATGACTAGCAATTTAATATGTGACTATAATAGAATAATAAAATTATCCACCTTATTACTTTAATACAAGAGGACAAATTGGTTTAAAATTAGTACATTCCAGTGCTTGTGTATGTATTAATGGAAAAATGTTTAATTTTTGTCAGAACAGTTTGAGAAAATTCGTTTGAAAATCTAGAACTTTGTATGCCTCAGATCTTTGTAGAAACC